AATCCTTAGGGCCAATACTTGGCCTGCCCAGGGAGGTGGTGCAGTCACCATCCCTAGATGTGTTTAAAAAAAGCCTGGATGTGGCACTCGATGCCAGGGTTTAGTTGAGGTGTTAGGGCATGGGTTGGACTCAATGATCTTTAAGGTCTCTTCCAACCCAGTGATTCTGTGAAGATTGCATGGGGGAAAAAAAAGTCCAGAGTGCTTCACCCCACCATTTAGAACAAGTCAAATTGTCCTTACAAGGATGGTGAGGCCATATCAGTTTTCAAATCACTTCAAGTTGTGACTCTGACACAACAAATTTATTTTAACACCTTACAAAAACCCCACATGATCTTATCAGGTGGTGAATGGAAACAGCACACTATGGAACAAACCCTTCTACAAGTTTGCTAAAATCACATGCAGTCCTAATAATGACCAAAACTTACCCTCCATCACAGCAGGAAACAAGTGGCCAGTACCCAACGTTGCATCAGTGATATAACTACACTACACCAGTCCTAGCCTAAAAACAATGCAGACTAGCAGAATCATGAGTTACAGTTAAGAAAAAGAAATCTATATAAAATACCATCTAAGAATCAGTAATCTGCTGTTCTGTGGATTGTTCTCCAACAATTAATGAATAGAACTTCTGGGTGAATGGAATTTACAAACTTTCCCAAAACCCCACACAATATTAATAGTTATAAAAACTTAAGCTGGGGGCATGGAATTGGAAGTTTGCAGAAATCATCCCTAAGCACAGCACAAATATTATTAGCTGCAGCAGGTAATGGTAATACCAGTCTTCAAGTTCATTGAAGAGATGAATGAATTTGATAATATAACTCAAATCATACATTGCTTTGTAGCATTAAATCACATTCAAAGACTGTCAAGCTGCAGTTCCCAAAGAGAGCCAACTGATGACTACCATAAATCAGCTGTTTAGTAAAGCCAGCAGTAACACTAGCATTACATTGACTAGAGAAACAGATCAAACACACCAATCCCTGCACTTTTCCAAAAATATATCCATCAAAACCAATCTATTTAAAAAGCTAAATTTAGTACTCAATTATTTTGACAGACACTTTGATCATAAACTACCTGGTCTCTGTAAACCATAAAACACAGCAGAATACTTTCTAAGATTAAATAAATTTTCTAGTAAACACTGCAGCCTTGCTCAAGTGCAACCTGAGCACTGGGATCAAAGTCTTAAAGCTACCATTAGGAATTCACTGAGTAACTCTTTATGAGAAACTTCTTGTCAAATACATAAACAATGGTTTCAATGTAAAAAACAGATTCAAGGTGGCAGATTTATTAATAGCTTAGACTTCAAGGATCTGTAGTTTGGAACACTATGATGCTATTAGTGTGGGCACACTGACAAATAAGCCAAATGTAGTAACTGCATTAAAGAAGTTCTTCAAAGCTCTTGTGCAATTTCACAAGTAATAGTTTAGTTGTCCACTACGGATTTCACCTGGCAGTCTGTATAAAAACTATTATGGAAAAATGATTAATTTGACAGAATCAGATAGCCTACAAGTTTAAGGGATTCTCAAGTAACAATTTAGAAGCAATTATACCTTACAGTATAATTACCCGAGAGAGTATTCACACATTTAAAGTCTGGCTCATTTACACTTCATCCCACCCTCCTCTTCCATTCCAGGAACACACCTAAAGGGCAAGTGGGGTGAGAAGTGCAGAGACCACACGGCCCTGATGTGTCACCCCCAGGCCAGCCTAGGCCCTCCACACTGCACAGCTTTTCACTTTCTGCAGTGACAGAACACCTGCTTCGCTGCACTTCTCAGAAGTGTAATTTTTTTGCTCAGACCCAATTTGAAGACAAATATCTCAAAGTTTCCTGACCTGTTGGTAAAGCTTTGAGACTTTTTAAGAAAAAGACTGTCTTCTTAAGCATATCTGAGTGCACTCAACATGTAAACTTCAAAAATTTCAGAAAGCCAACAGCTGCTGGGCACTGGCAGACGGGATGCTTTGCCATCCTACAAGCTCCCCTTCACTGAAAACTGTTCTTCCTATTTATGACAGCACAGCCTCAAACACTCCCCTTAGTAGTTCTATCTGGCTGTTTGGGTACATATTGCTCTCCACAAAATAACAAGGTGAATGTGCAAAGCATTAATGCCTATACAATATAAAGCTGCAGAGTCAACTCATTTTTTAGGCTTCAGCAGATTCTTTGTTTTGTTATCATGGACAACAGTACCATTTCCCTGCTTGAACATAGGGATCTTCAAGGAAATTGTGACACCCAGCATCACTCCCTGTATGAGCTACTGGAAAGCTGCACACAGCAGCACAAGTTTACAAGCAGTAAAACAGCATTCAGACAGCTCAAAGCAAAGGAAATTCACTCATTTGGTTCAGTTTGCCTGGCAGCCATGGTAATTTCCACAGCAAAACACAGCAACTTCCAGGCCCCTGCCCCAGCTGTACTCACAGGATGGCAAACATAAAACATTTCATCTCTCCTTACATCAGCTACTTCCCAAAATCAAACTTAAGCCCATATAAATCCAGCTTCTTTCTAGGCACATTTTGCTGTAGCTTCATAACTTTATAGCAAGGTATCAGTGGTACCTTCCAACTAATTAATACAAAATTGAGCTCCCTAAATTTCATTCATGGGCAGACCTTAAGTTATTGAAGTTATCACAAACATCCCCTGTCAGGAGAAACCCAGACATAAAATTCCACCCCACCCACAGTGGTGTGACTGCACAAAGACATCACAAATTCATCCTCTATGAGGGATGAAGTGCTTCAGGATGGACCAGCTGCTCCATGTTTCCCACTGCATCCCCTGGAGTACAGGCATGACAATCCAAAAAGTGCCAGACTGGTGACAACTCAAAACCAACTTTTATTTAGCACCATTTTTATCTGTGCTATCACAGCATTTAAAAACCAGACTACAATAACAGCACAAGGACACAGAGGGCTGCATTATTTGTGGGGCACGGTTTGGGGTCCTTTTTTTTGTTGTTGTTGTTTACTTTTCTTTTAGGTAGCAGAACTGTCTTTCACCACCACACTCCACTGATCAAGCATCTTGAAAGCTTCTTCTGTACCCAGCTAATGTGGGAAACTGGACATGTACACACAGAGATCATCCTGACAAGGATCCACTATCAAGGGTCAGCTGAATATTTGTCTCAATGTTCTGCCACAATGTACACCACTGGAAACAATTTTAGCAAAACCTGAACCTGGACAGGCTAACACTTTGTAGCAGGCTCCATGTCAGTGCAAAGTCACATACACTGAACGTGGGACTAACACAGCAGGATGCAGCTGCACCCTACAGTTTGAAAGAGTTTTAAAATCTAGTAAATACACTTATTCTCTTGTTTCAGTAAGGGATGAGCTAAACATCCTCCCAGAATGGTACAGCACAGCACAAACCCCTGGATGCAAAATGGAAGACTGTGAAGGGTAACACCACTTGTACATAATTTGTGACAACCCAGCAAGCTTTTTTCTCTGGTTTTACCATTCATCAGTCAAATACTATAGCTTAATCAGCTGAGGTATTGTAAAGCAGCTTAGAAAACAGATTTTTTCCTGCTTAAAGCCCACAATCTTTCCAGACTCAACAGGGACAACTCTTCAACCCAGCATCATAACAACAATTTTTCAACCTTAGAGCTCACAGTAAATGATGCTGTGAGGGTAGCAAAAACTAACCACTGGAAGAGTTTACTTAAGAACGACTTATCTCCATCACTGTGGCTTTAATCTAGATCAGCTCTTCTTCTGGAACTCAGGGCCCCAATTCAGAAATTGGTGATCTTTCTCTTGTCTGCACTAAGCAAGTATTCAAGACAAGCTATCCAAACCACAGCTCATTCAGTGACTTAAGGGCCCTGTAGGCCCTTACAGGCCAGCAAGCACTCCTTGCACCCCTGGCTGATCTCAAACAAGGCAAATACGCAGATCTGATCCCGAGACAAGTGAAACAGACAACCGGAGGTCTCGGAACCGAGCCAAGACTGCACCGAGTAGATGCGGTACGGCCCCGGAGAGCCAGCCGAGCCCGCAGCATGCCCCGCTCCGGAGCGACTCCAAAGCCCCAAGGCGAGCAGTGCCCTCGGCCCCGGCTGGCGGCGCAGAGCCCACGGGGCGCCCCGGGCAGGGCGTGCACAGCCCCGCTGGGCAACCGGCCACGGAGCACCGGCAGCCCCGGCAGAGCGAACGGCAGCGCCGTACCGAGCCTGCCCCGCCGGGCCGTGCCTGCCCCGCCGAGCCGTGCCGTGCCCGCCCCGCCGTGCCGAGCCGTGCTTGCCCCGCCGCATCCTTGCTGCGCGCAGCCGGCCTGCAGCCCGCGCCGCGGCCCGCCCCGCCCGGCTCCTACCTGGCAGAAGCCCCGGCAGTAGGCTCGGGACGAGGCCTCCGACACCTCCTGCTCGCGCAGCTCCGTCTGCAGCTGCCAGAGGCGAGCGCGGAGCGCCGGCACCACCCGCGACACCTCCGGCCGCGCCGCCGCCTCGGCCTCCGCGTCCGCCATCTGCACCCGGCCCCACTGCGCGTAGGCACCGGTCACGTGACCCGCCGATGACCTCATCGGCCAGGGACGGCGTCACGTGACGCGCGCGCACGTGACGCTTCGCCGCGCCCGCGCGAGGGGCGGGGCAGGGAGCGGGCGCACTCCCCCCCGCGAGCGACCCCACGTGACGAGGAGGCGGTGCGCGCGGCCCTCAGCGTGGAGGGGCGGGGCCGGCGGGAGCTGCAGCCCCGCCCCCCGGGCCGTGAGGAGGCGCTGCAGCCCCGCCCCCGGGCCGTGAGGGAGAGCTGCAGCCCCGCCCCCCGGGCCGTGAGGGAGAGCTGCAGCCCCGCCCCCCGGGCCGTGAGGAGGCGCTGCAGCCCCGCCCCCGGGCCGTGAGGGGGAGCTGCAGCCCCGCCCCCGGACCGTGAGGGGGAGCTGCAGCCCCGCCCACCGGGGCCGTGAGGGGGCGCTGCAGCCCCGCCCCCCGGGCCGTGAGGGCTCCGGCACGGCCCAGCAGTGACAGTCCCTCTCCGATAAAGGTGACTGACTGCAGGGCCAGGGGACTTGAAACATGATAATGGAACCGGCCAGAGACGGCTTTTATAACTTAGGTTGCCGTTACTTTAATCTCCCGTTAACAGCGCGGTGTTGGCAGCAGAACGTTCGTGCCTCCAGGATAGCGCTGGAGACGCTGTTGCCCAGACACGGGACCGGGGAGGATGGTAAATAGCTTTTACCAAGACCTTGCAGTGTGTGAGATGGGCCCATGGATCGGAGCAGATCTCTCTCTGTCCTTATCTCAATTAATGAAATATATATTTTTCTCCCCACTTCACATTCATGGAGGGAAGTGACAGACAGGCTTTGGTGGGAGCCTGGCGTCCAGCCAGGGTCATTCCACCACAGGAAGGGAAGGCAAAGCAAGAGAAGGGTAAGACAAGTCAAGACAATTCAAGGGACCTTGCAAGATGTGGCACGGAAGTGTTTGGCAAGGCATGGAAAGAAGGCGTAGACATGGCTGGGCAAGTGAATGAAGTTCTAGGCAAGGCAATAGCTCTTCTGTACTGCGCTTGTGCTGCCCCAGTTCAGGTGGTGTTGGGGGTCTTCTTCGATGAAGGCTCAAGGTCTTCCTTGCATCTGAATTCTCAACTTTGTCTTCAGAGCATGCGCTGTTATGGTGTTCCTTGGTCTTACTGGATGTAACCAGTTTAAATTCTCCATTTCGTGGCTGATTTGCTTTACATTTGCCAAATTCTCATTAGTACATCCTCATGCTTCCCAGTATAATTACACTTGTCTATTTTTGAGATTATTCACTTGGCGAGTTTCTGTTTATTTAAGCATTAAGCAACTAGTTAACCATATACTAGCTATTACATTGTACAGAAAGTTATGATTCAGGTTACACTGGTATAACTCAATCTACATAAGCATCTTGTAACTTTGACCCAGGTTATAGAGATATGAGCTGTCCCCATCTCCCTTGCCTGGCATTGTCGTGCTTGCCCAGCCCTGCATTTCCTCGCTGTGGGTTCCGTTTGAGCGCCATTATTCAGGTTATATTGGTATAACTCAATCTATATAAGCATTTTGTAACACTGCCCGAGGTTATAGAGGTATGAGCTGTCCCCATCTCCTGTGCCTGGCATTGCCGTGCTTGCCCAGCCCTGCATTTGCTCACCGTGGGTTCCGTTCGAGCGCCGTGATTCAGGTTATGTTGGTATAACTCAACCTACATAAGCATCTTGTAACTTTGACCCAGGTCACAGAGGTATCAGCTGTCCCCATTTCCCGTGCCTGGCATTGCCATTCTCGCCGTGCTTCCGTTCGAGCGCCGTGACCGGAGCGGACGGTCCCGCCCTTGGGGGCCCTTGGGTGGGCACACAGCGCCACCTGCTGGAGCTGTTGAGCGGCGGCAGAGCGGGGAGCGGCCACGGGGTGGCGCTGTGCGCTCGAAAGAGACGGCGCCGGCCCTTGGCTCAAGTTCGATCTTTTGGTTGAAGTTTGATCTTTTTGTGTTTTTCAGATCCTGTACTGCGTCAGTGTATAACAACGGACGCCATATAGAGTGGTAGTAAGCTCTCTTCACATGTTGGTCAGACAAAATGATGTGGTGTTTGTGAGGGTTCCAGGATGAGGTAAGAGATGAATCTGACTCCATGATCTCAGAAGGCTGATTTATTAGGATATTATATTATATTATATTAATTATATTATGGAATTATATACTTTATAATTATATAATTATAAAGTATATAATTTATATGTAATATATATATTAAAAGAAATTATATATTAAAACTATGCTAAAGAATGAGAAAAAGATATATCATAAGGCTTAACAAGAATGAATAATAAAAACTCGTGACTCCTCAGAGAGTCCGACACAGCTGATGGTGATTGGTCATTTAGAAAACACAATTCACATGGAACCAAACATGCACCTGTTGGGAAGCAACCTCCAGACCACATTCCAAAGCAATCAGATAATTATTGTTTTCATTCTTTTCTGAGGCTTCTCAGCTTCCCAGGAGAAGAAGTCTTGGTGAAGGGATTTCTCAGAAAATATCATGGTGACAAAACAATCCCTCCAGGCTTGAGACCCAAGGACATCCTCTGCCTCAGGCCCCAAGAAGTATAAACAAAAGTGAGTGGAGGAGTGGGGAGCAAACTGGGCATATCTGACTTCATTACCTGAAGCTGTAATTGGACAATTAACCCCTGATATGCAAATAGACCAAACTTAGATCTGGCTGAAAAACTCATGACCATGGTCCATCTTGGGTGTAGCTTCTGTAAGGCTTCTGACTGCCCAGGATGTATCTATAGAAGGCCTTTAATAAATACCCACTTTATTCTCTTAACTGTGTCTAGCCTCTGTTCTAGGGAGCCCCTCCAAGGCATCATTGGGGCTACCTAAAAACAGAGGCCAGACAAGATAATAAAATCAGGTATATTTATTTAAGGCTTTCAGGTACGTTTTGGGCAGATGAAGCCCTACCAGGGGCTACACAAGGATTACATATATGTAAAAATATAAAAGCTGAAATCCTAAGGCACCAGGGTGTCCAACCGTGAAGATACAAAGTTGAAAACGTCCTTCACTCTCTCTGAGAAAACGTACCAGAACAGAAAGATTTCACTGATCTTCCCTCTCATCTGCAAGTTTAAATTCACACCAGAAACTGTGAAAAAACTTTACTACATGCTGGCTAAAGTGGAAAATTACACTGCTTGTTATTAATTAAAATAATTAATTGAAAGTTAATTAACCCCATTAAGTAGAAAAATGAATTAGGAAAGTTCCATAATTTTTTGTCTCTAGGAGGAGTCTTGTAAGGTGCTGGTATGGTGTTGGATTGGCCAGGAGGAGTTTCAGTGGTGTTAAAGGAGATTTAGAGGGAACTGGGAAGGATTGATTGGGTGGCATCAATCGGCCTTTCAGTGGTGCTGGGTGAGGTTTGGGAGGGCTAAAGAGGAGCTGTAGCTGGCTGAAATGGTTTTGGTGATGTTGGGATGGTTTGAAGGTGGATTGGGGGATCTGGAATGGTTTGGCTGTGAGGGGATTCAGTGGGTGCAGTGAGGGGTTTGATGGTTCTGAGGGATGCTCCCCTCACCACTTCCTCTAGCCCTGGGGAGAGGAGAACCTGAGCATTTGGGGGCACCTCTGGGAGTCACCCCAAGTGCCTCATGGTTATCACCCTCCTTCCCCTTGCATTTCCCACCCCTTCTCCCTTATGTTTCCTGCTCTTTTCCCTTCACATTTCCCACCATTTACCCCCATAATTTAAAGCTTTAAAATAGTGTCAAAGAGGTATTTTTGATAACTTAATCCTTAAAATAAGAAAAAAGGAGTTTTTCTCAATTTGAAGCCCTTTGTTCCAGAATCCCCTCCTTTTTCTGTTGTCACTGGGATGCACTGGGAAAAAACACTCAGATTTTAAGGGTTTTTATTTAATTTCAGAATTCTGTCAGTTTTTGGGTGTCCCCTCCAATTTGGCATACTCCACCCAAATCCCCTAATTTAGAGGAGACGCCCCTCATTAGCAGCCCCCATTAATGAGGCTGTGGGGGAGGGCAAGGGGGAGCTGGACCCCCTCCATGCTCCTCCACCCACCAAACCAATGTGGTTCAGACTCATTTCACAGAAATTTGGGGGCAATTTCATTGAAATCAGGAAAAGTTAACATGGGGAAATCCCCCAATATGGGGGTGTCCCCCATCTGATACCGGGGAGACCCCGCCCCTCTGACATCACTCGGCGGTGTGGGGGGGGCGATGGGACCCCCGGCGGCTCCTCAGGAGGAGGCGGAGCTGTGGGAGAGGGAAGGTTGAGGGAGGTCCCCAAAACACGGGGTTCTACCCCAGAATATGGGGATGTCACCCAAAGGTCCTGGGACAGGACCCCACGGTTTGGGGGGTGGTGAAAATGAGGAGGTGAAGCAGCAGAACATTCGGGCATAGCAGCAAGGTTTTGAGGAAAACTGTGGGATTTTGGGGTTCCAGGAGCAATTCCGGGCATTTCCCCCCATCAGCAGGAAGTTTAGGGTGCAGTGGGGTGCTGGGTGTGAGGGTGATCGGGGGTCTCACCTGGTCTCCGGGGGCCCCAGGGGGCAGCAGGCTCTGGGGCAGGTCGTGCTCCAGGTTGCGGGCGCTGGGGTCGGCACCCCAGGCCAGGAGCAGCCTCACGAGGGGCTCCTGGCTGGGGGTCCCAGGCAGTGCTGCTGCCATGTGCAGGGGGGTGTTCCCGTGGGCCTGTGGGATGTGAGGGGGTGCAGGGTACCCACAAGTCACCCTCCAGCCCACTAGAGGTACCTCAGAGACCCTTGAGATCTGATACCGACACCTCCAGCCCCCCCAGACCCTCCACAGACACCCCAAAGCCCCCAGTGCCCTTTTGATCCCTCTGAGCCTCCCAGAGCCCCTTCAAACCCCGCAAGCCATTAGAGGAACCCCAAAGAGCTCCACAGAGCCCTCCGATCAGCCCCAAGAGCCCCACAGAGGTCTCCCAGCCCCATGTGCCCCACAGAGCCCTTGGGGGAACCCAGAGCCCCTCAGAGCTCCCCCCAGCCCCACAAGTCCCTCAAACCTTCATGTTGACAAGGCGGGGGGCCATGCCAGGCTGGCGCAGCAGTAGGTGGGCCAGGGCAAGGTTCCCTCCCCGCACAGCCAGGTGCAGTGCTGTCAGGCTGCTTTTGGTGTCCTGGGGGCAAGATAGGGGTCGGGGGGTGGACCCACAGGAGGTCTCACCCCCCTACAACCTCCTCAACCTCCCCAAAGGGACCCCAAGAAATGCCTGAGAGCACAGATCTGTCCAGCCCATGGGGACCCTGAAGGGAGACACAGGGGTCTTTGGGGGGCACACAGGTGTTGTGGGGGTCTCACGCCCCTCCCCAACCCTCCCAAGGTACCCCAGTGGATCCCAAAGGCCAGGAGCTCAGGTCTGCCCAGCACACAGGGACCTCAAAGTGGGACACAGTCACCTTTGAGGGGCACAGAGGTCTGTGCGGGGAACCCAGGGGATCTGAGGGACACCTGGAGAGTTGTGGGGTACCTGGGGGTCCTTGGGGGGGGTGTGTACCTGGCTGCTGCTGTCTGCCCCCATCTGCAGTAGCAGCTCAACACAGCGGAATCGGTCCTGGGGAGTGGGGGACCCCCTTCCAGAGCCCTCCGTGGAGCTGTGCGCTCCCTGCAGCGAGGCATTGTGGGCCAGGACGGCGCAGTGCAGAGGGGTCTGGCCTGGGGGAGAACCAAGAGGGGTCAGGAAGGGCCCCTCCCCCAGACAGGACCCCCTTGAATTGGGAACCCTCCTAGGGACCCCCTCAAAGTACAGACACACCCCCCTGGGACATCAACCAGGACCCCCAAACTGGAAATTCCCCATCCTCCCAAAACAATGATGCATCCACCAGGAATCCCACCAAGAGCTACCAAAAAATGGGGCTCCTCAGGGTCCCCTCCAAACCAGGGACCCCCAAGCCCGTTCTGTATTGAATACCCCTCAAGTGGGACTCTCCCAAGACACCCTGAAATAGGGACTCATCAGATACCCCAAATCAGGGACCCCTGAGTCCCCCTCCCATTGGGGACCCACCAACTGAACTCTCCCCTGTCCCACCCAAACAAGGACTCCCCAAGAATCACCCCCACCATAAAACCAGGGGCCCACTGCAAGCCCCTCCACCACCCTTGCCCCCCCCCGCCCCTCAAATTTGCTGACCCTCAAAATTTCTGGCCTCCACGTTGACAGGAACCCCCGAGGACATCATGGCCTGGGAAAGCAAGGGGAAAGATCTGGAGTCCCTCTGGGTACCAGGAACCCCACTAGGCCGGTTCCCTGGTCTCCCAGAACAACTGCGTTCCTTCTGGACCCACTCTGGGGTCCCCTTTGAGAGGGTTTTGCGGTCCCCAGGGCTGCCCAGCCCTCCTGCGGTTGGGATCTCACCTGGAGGATTTCAGGGTGCCCGTAGGCTGCGGCCAGGTGCAGGGCCGTGCGGCCCCCGTGGTCTGCGGCATCAGGATTGGCCCCCAGGACAAGCAGGTCCCGCACAATCTCCGGGGCTGCAGCAGCCGCTGCCACCAGCAGAGGAGTCTGGGGGCATCAAATGGAGGGGTCAGGGGGGACTTGAGTGACTCCTGGGGGGAGTTAGATGTCTAGGGGGTAAAGGGGGTCTGGGGGCTCTTGCAGGGAGAAAAGGAAGGTCAGTGGGATCTGGGGGAGTCAGGAGTGGTTGGGGGGCATCAAGCACCCCTGAACCCTCAAATTATCACCCTGGTATTCTACTATTGCTCTGTCTCCCCTTATCATTCCTTTATCATCACCTCATTAATTATTTGTTATTAATTGTCCCTTCATTGCCCTTTACTGGACTCTAATTACACCACCAGTAATCACCCATTATTACCTCCCAGTATTAATTACCCCCTTTATTCTCCAGCACTCCCCCTGTTATTAGACTGCAACAGAACTCTGTGATTAATTATCCCAGAATTAACTACCCCACCCCCATTATTAATTACCCCGTCACTCCCTGATCCGTTATTGTCTTTTTACCCCCATCACCCCCTTATTGCCCCAATAAGACCCAGTTATTACCCCTTCTTTACTTATTACCCCCAATGCCATCAACTTTCCCAGGTGCTCTTGCACTTCTAGTTTCCCCTCCCCTACCCCCCCATCTTGCCTAGGTGCTCCTGCATCTTGATCTCGTCCAGATGTCCCCTCAGGCCCCCCAGATGTGTCCCCCCCTCACCTTGCCCAGGTGCTCCCGCACCTCAAGTCCCCCCAGGTCCCGCAGAGCCTCGGCCGCAGCCCGGGCGAGCGCCCACTGCCCCCCGGCACAGAGCACGTGCAGCAGCCTGGGGGTGGAGCAGGGTTACAGGGGACCCCCTTGGCCTCTACCCACCCCCCACATTCCACCCAGAACACAGACCCCACAAAAGGACTTGTCACCCCAGAGCTCCTCCCAGTGCCTCACAACTGCCCCTGGGGCTTCCCAGCACTGCCTTGTCCCAGTGACCCCCCCATTGCCTCCCTGCTGACCTCCACATTGACTCTCCTATTTACCCCACACTAATCTCACCCACAGACCCCACTTGATCCCGTTGTCCCCCACTGAACACCACACTGACCCCACTGCCCTCCCATTGCACTGCTATGGGCCCCACTGACTGTCCTTCCCACCAGTGACCCCCTAAATTGCCCCCCCATTGATGCCCATTTGCTCCAGTTTAGCCCATTGACCCACCATGGACCCCTTGACTCCAGTACCCCGTTATCACCCCCGTACCCCCCAGTGCCCTCCCATGGCCCCCCCGCTCACGTGTCCCCCTCCTCGTCCTGCCACAGCAGCTCCCGGGGGTCTCGGCCCCCCAGTGCAGCGCGGGCGGCTGCCAGGTCCTGGGGTTCAGGATACGAGTCTTGGATCTCCCTTCCCAGCAGGGTGGCCCCAAGTTCTCCCCACGGCACTGCGGGATGGGGCCAGGCAGGGCCAGGGATGGCAGCAGCCTTGGGGGGGCAGCAGTCAAGGTGGAGGGGGGCTTGGTCCCAGTTACCCCTGCCCCAATGACCCCCCCTTTTCCTCCCCTTACCCCCCCAGCTGCGACCCCATTGCCCCCATCTAA